ATCAAATATCAAACTAGATTCGTTACTTAGTATTATAGTTTAGTAGTATTCCTCTTCATTTATAAGTAATATGAGAGGTCTTAGATTCAATTATTATCAAAAATGATTTGAACCACATTATTACTAATCCACTGTGAGATATAACCTACTCTCCTGCCTGCTTAGTGCATAAAATATGTTTGTTCAAATAAAAAATATCAAAGCTGATTCCAAAGTGGGTGCTTTTTTTTTTTTTTTTTTTTTTCCTCAACCGTCGGCCATCATGGTGGTTTCTTTAATTTTAAATTAAATAAATTGAAGAAGAATTAATTAATGAAAATTAATCCAAAATTAGCTTTTTGTTGACGTCTGGAAGGTTATTAGTAATTAGCAGACTTAGATCCTCTTCGGATCTTTTCATTGGGGATCCCAGGATCAAGTGATGCCAACTGTTCATTAAGAATCGTGTGGCTACAAAATTTTTTTTTTCATGCAAAATGATGCTACCTTATTGTTGAAAATATAAAAAAGTAAAAAAAAATTTGACCACACGATTTTTTATGAACGGTTGGTATTACTTGATCCTTGAAATCCTAAGTGAAAAAATCCGAAGAGGATCTAATTTCGTAATTAGCAATAATTATAAACTCACCCTGTCATTTATGCATTTTGACCAAAGATTAAATTGGGATTAATGATTCCCACATTTGACACATGGAGTGATTGGTTGGAACTATTTGATGAAATTAAGAAATATCAATGGAAACGATAACGAACGTGCATGTTTATATCGATATAGGTTCTTGGTCTTTTGGCTAAGATTTTTTTTTTTTTTCTAAAGTTTGAGGCATCACACACCTCTAAGGTAGGATCAAGCACTTACCTCTAACAGGACTCAAATATGCTAAGGGCATTCAGTTCTCTCCTAACACTCACATAACACTCGTTTTTTCAAAATTTTCAACTAAAAAGTAATTTGTGTATTTGCTAATTGCGTGCTAAAATTCAAAATCAATGAGCATCCCTGACTTTGAATTATACCGCAATTTCACCGCACCACTTACCGTGGGTTAAGATTATTAGTTTATTAGATCAATATATAGTGAGTGCTATATGGGCTCCACATCTAGAAATACCATTGACATGGTGGGTCCATCATTTTAGTCCAATATTCATACGTTTGTTAATTTAATTTTGCCAATTCAATTCCAACACATCTTTGCAAATGAGGAAATTTCGTAATGCCAGCATGGAAAATAGTTTCCATGATATATTTATTTATTGTTTTCACGCACAAGTCATTCATAAGTATTGTATTTTAAAGAAAAACACTTGAATTAATATTATAGAGTATTAGTAAGTGCTCATTATAATTAAGTTCATGTTATTTTGTTCAAATTTACAGGTAAATACGGCAATCCGATCACGTCTATATATTGAAAAAATTGGTGTACCTGAATTTAGCCTAATTGGAGTTTTGATTTTTAAATTAAATTTCGTGAGTATTTGTCCTCTTGAACTCGTCGTAATGTGAAATAATATTCAGTTTTGCTGCTAGTGTGAAAGCCAGACTTGTGGCCATAAAAGGCTGAAATGCTTCTGTGAGTCTTCCAAGCTCCCGAAATAAGTGGATAACCGTAACTTCTCACTCGTTGTCCCCCTTTTCATAAAAAAGAAAAGAAAAGAAAAGAAGAGAAAAGATAACATTGTTATAACTTTCTTTACACGACAATTTTGGTCCAAAGGAATAAAGCTCCTATTGAGTCACAACTCTAGGCCCAATGCTTAAATTCGTTACATGATATATCCGTAGTCGTCACACGCCTATGTCAACACGACATAGGTATCATAATGCAAGTAGTCTTAAAAGCCTAACCATATGAGAAATTTTTCAATGTGTGTCAATACGGTCCAATACATAAGTATTATGATACAAGTAATTATAATTTTTTTTTTACGCATATAAATGATTATATTTATTCGAGAGAACACAGAAAAATCCTTCCAACACTATACATGAAGTTGATATGACGATGGCTGATGACACCCCATTGTCATGATGCATCTTGCTAGTTGGCAAAGAGCGCCAGTACAAAAGAAGAGAGAGAGAGAGAGAGAGAGTTCCAGTATCTTTTGCCTGTAAATATAAAACCAAACCAAATCATTCCCAACTTAAAGCACTTTTAACCTAAAAACTCTCTCTCCTCCTCTCTCTCTCCCCTCCGTCCCCCGGCCACCGCGGAAATCCTCCTTTGACGCCGTTTCTCTATCTACACGTCCATCTGTTTGTTTCGCGGGAAAGTTCCTGAGCTGCCAAACCTTCCCTTCCGTTCCCGAGGCTCTGGACATCTGTCTCGGAGAATCAAATTCTCTCGCCGTCGGCTAGCAGGTTTTTCTTAATTTCTGGGCTTATTTTTTTTTTCCTCTTTTCGTATCACAGATGCAGTAATGGAAAATTTCTCCCATTTTGTGGTCTGTTTGGAATTTGATTTCGTGGAAGATCTAATTTCTTAATTGTAATTTGTACTACAAGAAAATAAACCCTAAATTTTTGTTTGCTTTCAATTTTTATCGTAAATAATTTTAGCTGACGCAATTAGATGATTTGGATATGGATCTCGGATTTTGATCATGCATGTTTGGGGTTTTTATATTTGTTGATAGGTCGAACTTGTGCGGTAGCAACCAGTTGACTAAGATTTTCTGTGCAATTTGATCCAGTTACGTTGGATTTAGACTTTATTTGAGCTCAGCTGCATCAAAATTCAGTCAATTAGGTCTAGGAATCAAATATATTTTGTAAATATATTTTAGGATTTTAGAGGTTAGTTGAGCTTTTCGGATTCAAGTCTTTGAATTTGTGTTCATTTATAGGTTTAATCTTTAGGTGAATTTTGTTTAACCTGAGTTATGTTGCTCGAATGGCTACACATGTTGCTTGGTTGGCACTTCCCGTAATTCTCCGTTGGTGCAAGTTATGAATTGATATCTTGCTTTCAATGATGCCTGCATGTTTTTATATGGGCACACAAATGTTTGGAAAAGGATTTGACTGGGACTGAGTGTTATTTTTTGGTTGCCCAAATGTATAGGCGGTGAGGATGTCGACTCCTGCAAGGAAGAGACTGATGAGGGATTTCAAGAGGTTGCAGCAGGATCCCCCTGCGGGTATAAGTGGTGCTCCGCAAGACAACAATATTATGCTTTGGAATGCTGTTATATTTGGGTACGTCTTGGATGTAGATTGTGGTTTGTTGCATGTTTCAGTTTATTTAGATTGTTTTTCTTGAGATCCCGTACAATTTTATTTATGCACTTCATTTTTTGAACTGCAGGCCAGATGACACCCCATGGGATGGAGGTAAAAACCAAGAAGAACTCATATCATGTTGTACTTCGATTTCTTATCTTCCATTTGTAACTTTTAAGCTACATCTTTAATTATATTTTTGTGTTTCCCAGGTACGTTTAAGTTGACACTCCAATTCACAGAGGACTATCCAAATAAGCCACCAACAGTGCGTTTCGTTTCTCGAATGTTTCATCCAAATAGTAAGTTCAAACAACTGCACATACGTACATGCATGCACATTTTACGTTTTTACTTGAGTTGGTACATTTGTATGCACATACAAACTGTAAAAATTGTTATTTTCAATGGTTCTTAAATTAGTAGAGGAGTTTACCGTGCTTGGAGTTGTCTATTATCTCAGTTTTCCTCTTGGATTTTGTGAATGAGAACCCACCTAATACCTATAAGGAATATCTGGGTTTGTGCATATGTAATCATGGTACAATTTCTTCTCTGGTATTGTGCTTTTATCAAAATTTAGTCTTCTTATGCGGCATATCCTGTCATTACGTTTTTTTAGGAAAGACAGTCTTTCATCATTTCTTTTTAATCATTGTACACCCATTTACTTAGCCAAACTAACTTCTCATGGGTGAAAAAGGATCTGAGGAAATGGAATTATTTGGAATTTGTTTTTATGTACGCAAACATTTGTTAATTGAGATTGAATCACTGATCGTTTTCACCCTCACAGCTTGTTGCTTTGGTTGTTCACTCATATTTGCAAATATACATATTTTAACAAGTTAACCGGAATGCAATTAGTTGGATATATTTCTGCTGTTTCAAGTCTTAAGTTCTGTCTGTTTTGCCCCTTTTCAGTTTATGCGGATGGAAGCATTTGTTTGGACATCCTACAGAATCAGTGGAGCCCTATCTATGATGTAGCAGCTATACTTACCTCTATTCAGGTATTTGGCTATGTTCTATTCATTGCTTGGTTACTTCTAGTGCTTTAATTTATTGACACTATTGTTTGAGTGTCATGGGCTATGTCTGTAAGTGGCCAGACACCATATATGAAAGGATAAGTTGCTGTCTTTTACGTTGCACTATTTTGATCTTTGTAAATCTAATTGCTCCATCTTGTTTATTCCAATCCGAAACTAAATTTTGTAGCATCTATTTGAGCTCTACAAGAGCAAAGAAGCATTGATTGTACTGATTGAGTTCTTCCTCAGAAAATATCCCGTCTTCTCTGTTTTATTTCAACCATCTTACCAATGCGTTCAGCTGCACCTTCACACCTAATTATGGCTATTACTTGCTCTTGAAGAAATTTTCATGTGTGTCCATGTCTGTTTCATCTCTCATTTCAAAGAACAAGAATCCTAAAACCATGTAGATAAGCAAGCGCTTCTTATTGCACCTCTCTCAAATCACCGCTTCATGTATCTAACCACGTTTCCATTTTCCCATTGTTATTACCATAACTATATGCATGGGAATTGTTTTTAACACAAAACAATCTGACTATACTCTTTTAAACAACACAACTATCGAACTTTACTTTCTCTCATACATCCACACACTTGCGCACACTCATTCATATGTTTATGTGGATATATTGCTTTAAATCAACATTGATAAATGAAATATAAGATTGTGGAGAGAGAGTTCCCTCTGTTTTAATGGCGTTTTTATGCAGACGTCATGTCATGACTTGGGCCCTAAGATATTTTTTTTTCTTATTGCAGTCTTTGCTGTGTGATCCAAACCCAAACTCTCCAGCAAATTCAGAAGCTGCACGGATGTTTAGCGAGAACAAGCGTGAATACAATAGGAGAGTCCGCGAGATTGTTGAGCAGAGTTGGACTGCCGATTAACAAGCTAACTCCTGATGGAGAGCTTTCGAAAATCAGTTGAATCAGCCAATGTTTAAATAACTTTGAAACTTGAAAACCTTTTGTGTTGTGAAGGACCGACTTTTGGGTAGGGGTGTGATATCCACACCTTATTTTATTGCTCACACACCTTTTTAATTTTTGGCCGTAGGATCGGATGAATTGAAAAAGATCAACGGATATAAATTATCAAGGGATGTGTGAGAAGTAAAATGCGTTGTGTGTATAGCACATCCCTTCGGGTATTGTGAAATATTTTGCTTGGGTCTTTTTATTCAGTGGCGTTTAGGCCTCGTATATCTAGTATGTCGGACCACCTGCCCTGCAGTTTTCTTCCATCTAAAACTGCATTTAATTTTGTTTTATGATATTGTGTAGTTTGGGGCAAGGATTGAACGAAATTGATGTGCAACTGTTGTATGCATTTGCCTGTCACATCATCTGTCGCGTGACCAACACGGGGGATGTTTTGTACCATCAATTCATATTCGTGGTTGTTACAGTTGAGTTCTTGCATAACAACATGAGTTTGAACTTTGTTGGTGGCTAAGCTAACATCTATATTTGTCCAAAAAAAAAAAAAAGCAAAACAAGGAACTCTAGTTGAATTGTATAGCCTTTCATTTATTCATATACCTTGTTTAACAAGTAACAAGTAAAACTGTAAATCTGACGAAAGAACTACTACATTTGTGCGCTGAGGTTTCCACTGCTAGTCCATCCCTCTTGAACTTGAATCGAATACTGCAAATTCCAAAGAACATTATCTATCGAAGGACGCTTGCTTGGATCTCTGCACAAACAATTGACTGTGATTTCAACTGCCGTCTTCAGTGACTGGTACGCAAAACTTCCCATCATCGACGAATCTACGATTTCTCGTAGTGTCGATGGCCCTTCAATCAAGCCATTTTCTAACTGTTAATTAGAAAGACAGAAAAAAAAAAAAAAAAAAAAACCCCTCATTAGTTTAGTTCCCATGACAACTAATAATGTCAGCAATAACAATCGGTGAAATAACAAATCCGAAACTATATTTTAAGTGGTTTATACTATGAAATGAAGTTTCGAGGGGCTTATTTGCGAAGAACTCTTTTCTATAAGATTTACCTGAACTCTAAGCTCATCCAATTCAGTAGCTGATTTAATCAATCTACCAGTAAGAACTTGAAGCAGAATAATGCCCAGCTGGTAAATATCCTCCTTCTCGGCTTCGGCGCTACATTTTTACCACTCTCATAAGATAATTCAGATGCTGCACTAGAAAACAAGAGGAAGATGAAGAAAAGTAATTACCTGTTTAGATGGGAATTACTGCTAATCCCTTGTCCATTAAGAGGATCCTCTGAACCAACCTGCAAATTAGAGAATGCAATTGTCAATGGCTACAAACTCTTCACCTTCTTTTCAAAGCTTTCAAGCATGTTTACTTTACTTTATGCAAATTCCCACCTGAAATGGTAACGGAAGATTGTAGTTACTGATTTTGGCAGAAACACTCTCATCCAACAATATGTTCTCTATCTTCAAATTGTTTCCAAAGATCCCGGGAGCCACGCCGGTGTGCAAGAACTGGACTCCCCTCGCAATGCCAATGGTAACCGCCATTCTCTGCGGCCATTTCATCCATTCCTTCTTTCTCCAATCTACAAAACCAAAGTGTGCATGTTAGAACTGTTTTAGTTAATCAAATTACAGTTCTCTCTTGTGCAGGACGTTTGTTCTTTACCAGTGAGATGGTCTATCAGCGACCCGTTGGTGATGTTCTCGAGAACAATAAATACCGTGCTAGATGCGGTGGGATGGTCCTGGTACGTGACAGTGCAGTGTCCTATAAGGCTGACCAAATGCCTATGCCTCATCTTTGACAAGCCTTCCATGCTCTGGTTCAAGTTTTGTGGCAACTGCTTCTGCTTTAGCTTCACACATCTCACTTGCACCTGTGAACCATCTCTCAGCCAACCTTTGTACACCTGTAAATGTTGCACAAAATAATATCAGGTCTCAACATAAATCTGCGCAGAATGTTCGTTCTTTGATCAATAAACGACGTGCATCCACATTGTACAGTTCATATTCAATGCAATACCTGTCCATGAGATCCTTCCGCCATCAAATTTGCAGCGTCGAAGTTGTTCGTTGCATCATCGATTTCTTCGAGTGTGAAACCACGATAAGGAGGGAGCCCGAGTGTTGGCAGCCTCATCATCTGCGGCACACGCCCTGAAAAACCCAAATCCAAATATTAACCACCTTTTGATTTAATTTCAGCCAATAAAGTTAGCGACTTTTTTTCACTTTTCAGACGCTTACTTGCATTAATATTGTGCTTTGGGGAGCTTCTGACAGAGGTTTTCTCCGCCATGGATCTGTCAAATCGATCCTCTGCCTCCCTCTTCCCTGCCCTTTTGATGATAACCAAAACCAGCAACCCAACAACACCAGCAACACCCACAATGCCACCAATCATACCCAGCAACACACCTAGCTTTATCCTGTTCTCCTCCTTCTTCCCTGCAGTTTCAACCGGCGGCTTCACGGCCAGAGCTTCCTTGTGGCAAAAGGCATACGGATGCTGGTACTTCGAGATCCCACCCGACAAACAGTTCCACGAATCCAGAACCGTCCTGTTCGAAGCCTTCGAGTTCGATCCGACGCAGGTGGGCAGCTTCCCAATCAGAAAATTCTGGGAAATGTCCAAAACTATGAGGTTTTTACCGCAGGTTGCGTTGGATGACAGGGCACCACTGAGCTTGTTCTTGGAAACATTGATGAACTGGATGGAGGGCAGCGAGAGGAGGAAAGATGGGACGGGACCCACAAATTTGTTGTAGGAGATGTCTAGTTTCGTCAGCTGATCGAAATTCTTCAGTCCTGCCGGAATATCAGATCTCATGGAGTTGTTTCTGAGAACGATGATTTGAATACTGTCTCCCAACGAGGGAAATCCAGGACCCAGTTTGTTGTTTCCGAGGTTGATTTCTTGGAGAAATGTTAGAGGTCTGAGATCCGGAACGCTTCCGTTGTGGAGATTGTCAGCCAAATTTATGCTCGTCAGATTCTTGATCGAGCTGAGGGAAGCCGGTATCTCGCCGGAGATGGAGTTCGAGCTGAGGTTGAGCGTTTCTAGCGACCACAACCGGTTGATCTTCGATGGCAGCGGGCCCCACAGGCCGAGGGAGACCAATGAGAGGGATTTGAGGTTGGAGAGCTTGGTGAGGACGGTGAAGAAGGAGTCGATGGAGAAGGAATTGGACAGAGTGACCTGTGTTGGAGGGGAGGTTTTAGTTTTGTTTCCGGTGACGGTTAATTCGGTTAGGCGGTTGTTTGTGCAGACGATCCGGAGGGAGGGGGAGGAAGGGAGGAAGCAGAAGTTGGTCCAGTTCGTCCATCCCTGAAGAGGTTCGGGGTATTCGAGAAGCTTTTGCACTTGGAAGAGGATTCGAAACTCGCTTGGACTGAGCTGAGCGGTTGAGATTTGAGAGGAGATGGATAGAGTGAGAAGAAAGAAACAGATAGGAACCCAGAAGTTGTTCATTTTTTTTGAAGAAAACGAGATTAACCCAGAAAAGCTAATTAGTCCAAGTTGCTCTGTGGCTCAGGTTCATCCGTTAAACTCCGCTGGATTCTTCAGCGCACATTCAACCGTTAAATTCGGTATATTCAAGAACTTTCCAGAAATGTGATGAGGAGTGGGTAAAGTAAGAAGGAAGCAGGTAAGGAGCAGAAAGGTCTTGGTTTGGTGAGGCAAGGTGACAAGAAAAGATTTTGCAGTTGAAAGTGAGAGACTAAAATTGGTGAGGGTGATGAAATCATGAAGGAAAAGGACTAGAATTTCAACAGAAAGGAGGGGAACTGGGAAACCTAATGTGGAGAGAATGACAGATCTGAAAAGACTGAAATTGCAGAATTTGAAGCGGGGCAAAGCAAGAACCAGACAGTGCTAGTGGATTCAGCCAAGTTCAAGAACAAAGAGACAATGCAAGCCAACCCATCTGCATGAGGACTTACACAAAATGGTTTTTAAATATGAGTTAAATAATACAATGTCACTTATTATAATTGGACCAAACGCTATGTATGTGACTGTGAATCTATTATGTGCCAGTTGATTTTTATCTAAAATAATAATCTCCGAAACAGTACGCTATTAACTTGAAATACCGATCCAGTAACAAGATGGCTTAGACACTTCAACATGGCCGATCCCGATCCTGCGGTACGCGAACTGTTATTTTAAGCAGCAAACTGGGTTTTCAAAGTTTGAGTTTCCACTTTCTACCATTCTGCAGTGTTTGTTCGGAAATGGGATATAAATTAGGTCAACATGGCTCTGATTCAAAGGCTGGATGTTGACCACGTACATAATGGCAAACCTACTAGGGCGCCGTGGCCACGTGGGGTTCGTGAAAAGCCAGCCTTTTTCTACTTCCCAGTTCCCATGATGAAATCACGAGGCCTTTTTGTTTTCACGTAAAATTATTCATCACCAAACATGTTCAACAGTGTACGACGAACAGTAGAATCGGCTGCGCAAAATTACAATCTCAAATAATACATTGAAATTTTTTTTACTAAAATCTAAATACGTATGACGCGTATTTATTCTAAAAACGCTTCTACGGTATTTTTAGGTTGTATTTTTATTTTTTTTAAAAGTAAAGTGTATGATATTCGTTATGAGAATGATGAATAAGAGCATCTCTAATGCAAATACTCAAATTTTAAACTCATATTCACATATTTGGGTTTCAAAGGGTAGGTGGATTTATATATTTTGGTTTTCTTCTACAATGCAAAGACTCAAATCTTATGAAAGATTTTAGTCTTTTCATTGGAGGAGTAAATGTTGAACTCAAAAATCATATTTGAGCTTTAATAATTTGGTTTATGTGCACTGGGGATGATTGAACTCAAAACTCAAATCTCCTTTTTCTTGGTTGAACAATATTTTTCTATTTGACATTGGCTCCACCTTGGACTCAAATCTCGATAAAGTTTTCAATATGTCAGAAACATGCCCTGACACACAAAGTGTCATAATACAAGTGGTTGTAAATTTTTTTTTTTCAAGTATCTAAACCACTTGGATTATGAAACTTGGTGTACTAGACGTATTCTTGACAGACTAAAATTTTTTTCCTTAAAATTGATATTGAAACTCAAATTTAGATTTTACTTTGCCTCAAAATCTAAATATAAGATATTAGTGTTTTTATTTTTTTGTTCAAATATATGAGATATGACTTGAATATGAGATTTTAACTTACAAACGGAGTCGGTGAGTACCACTAAGGTAGTGGTAATCTAGGAAATAGGTCCTCTTTAGATTCCTTCTATCAAATTCACATAATCATCTAATTTGAGTCCTTTAAATTTAATCGTGTAGCCGCTGAATCAAATTTCAAGAATCCAGATTAATTAATTTGATGAATTTGGTGGATGAGATCCGGATCACGCCCTTTCCGTAATGTAGTTCTCAATCAGGGAAATGAATTTAGTGCATGAAAAGGACGACCTCAGGTCACTTTCCGTGGATGCAAATGACTTGCTAAAAATATCTGTGCATTTATGATTCACATGACAGAACGTCCTCCTGCGTCCATGTCAATAGAAAATGGATTGACATCGTCTTTAGATCTCAAGCTCCAGAGTCTGCTAACCGAGCAATCTAAACCATTTAATTTAAATTTTGTGATTTTTATTAGTTAATTTCATTGGCCTACTTCACACACAATTTCTTTCTCTAACACTTAGATATCTATCTTTCTTTTAAACGGTCTGAATTGCTCAATTCGTGAACTCTGAAGTAAGAAGATCTCAATCCATGGAAAATAAGGATTGCATTGCATTATATGTCGTTTTGTGCGAGGCTGTGTCGGTGTGTGCGTGCGAGTAAGACACAGGGGGAGAAAGAATTGGATGCTTTGATTAATTTAGGTATTAGTTCCACCGAATCCATTTTCTTTTCAGTTGTTTACAAGTGATTAATAATTCAGTGGGATGCGGCCAGCCTGACACTAATTGTTTTTATCTGTGTTTTACGTGTTTTGTTCTTTCTATTGGAAGCAAAGCTGAAAGCTTTGCTTGCAATTTGCAAAACGACGACTCGTTCGCATCCCTTCAATATTTTGATGGAATATATTCTTGAATTTAATGAGTATTTTTGTGTTAATGTTTAACATCTTGGTGCTATTCTATTCGATTTTTTTGGGTGAAAGATTCCATCAAGTTGGATTATTCCTAATATTCCATATACATTAATTAAGTAAAAGATTATAGGTTGTTTGTTGCCTTATGCATTGCTAAACTAAGAAACGTTGCATGAGGAATTAGAACCCAAATTGCAATTATTGGAGACTTGTGTTAACATTAATCGTGTGTGGACGCTCACAAAAGTATGTATCATCAGGCATCCAAGGTTCTAAAAGACGCTAGGTGATAGTCGGGTAGCGAGCTGGGGCCTAGTGCCTAGGCAATTAGGCGGGCGCCTAGGCAGATTTAACTGAATCCATTATATTTCATGTAAATAAGTCATTGTTTATACTTAAAATATATATAATTTCATTATAAACTACAAAATAGAATGACACATATATTATGAAGTATTGGAACGTAATGAAAACATGGGGAACAAACATATAATGTATGATCATTTAAGTATTCAACAAGTCTCTTACAATTTATTGAAAAAAATAAAATGCAAAATGAAAGTTATCTATTTTTTGTCTAAGTGAGTCGCAACCTAGGCGGGTGTCTCAGCAGGTTTAGGCGCCATTTCTTAATTATCAAATGCCTAAACATTAATTGGGACGGCGACCAGCCGCCTAGCATCTAGGCGGGACATAGGCGAAAATTTTTAGAATAGTGCATGTGCCCATGCATCAACGCTAACATTCTTTTTAGGTCAATTTGTCCAATATAATCATAGTCAGTTTGCTAGACCACTCTCATAAAAGATGCTCAAGTGTATTGAAAATTATACCTACATCAAGTACAATGGTACTCAAATTCAGTATGTTTGGTCCTTGTGAGAGTACATGAACAAGTGTAGAACCAAGTAAAAAGTCTTACATTGTCCATCTCATGAAATAACTCACAACTCATATCACATGCTTTCACTCCTAATTGAATCAAGGCATTTTGCATACAAATCCTACACATATTGATTGCAATAGTGAGTTAGTAGGGACAATACTAGTGTTGTTAATGAAGAACCGCTACCGTCTTTCTGAAACTTTAACAGCAACAACTATTCCTTCTTTCAAGCAATCATACTAAAAGATTGATGTGATCTTCAAACAATCATTAAATACTATTGTTAAACAAAACAAACAGTAATCCAAAATCCAATTGCAAAATCGAATCATAGCAACACAATCTTAACAAAAACTTGGGCTCTAAATTTGGGCCAACTGCTTGCCTTCTTTGGGTCAACCCAAAATTGGGCTGGGGTCCACATTCCATATAAACAAAGCGAACCCACCACAAACGTCGTCGTTCCCTCCTCGTTGCGGGAATATTTTTCCATTTCTTGTCGTCACCTTATTAAATTTCAGTTTCTAATTTCGCAGGTTCTTCAGGTGAAATTAACAGTGAAAAAGCAGAGGGAGCTCATCCCACAGTCGCCGGTGGAGCAGCAGACCCAAAACGCCGTCGTACTACTCCCTCTTCGTCTTCTCCTTCTCCAGTTTATGGTACTCCTCTTATTTTCGTCTCCCGTTTTTCTTTGTTCCGTACTGCCGGGAGGCTTTAGGGTTTCTCAGCACTGCATTTCCCGGAAATGCTTAGATCGAACGGCCTCGATCTTTCACTAGCTTTGAATTTTATTCCCAAATTTTCATGTTCATATTTTCTTCGCCAACCTTACAATTTATCGCATATAATTTTTTTGTTCGATTATTTTCGTTATTTCTGTTTCAGCATTTCTGTATATACTTGATTTTTTTCCATTTTTTTAAATTTAAATTTTAGGGTTTGAATTTTGGTTCGCATATAATATCAGCTGAGCAGACCATTTGTTTTCGAACCCTACTTTTTCTGTTTTCAAATGGGTTTTGCGATTAGGTTTTTGGTTAATTTCAACAAGTTCAGCTGGTAGCTAGGTACTGTCATGGCTCAATTTGTGTATGTACGTGCAGGTTTCTGCGTATTAAGCATCGTGGGCTGCGTTTAACTTTTTGCAATGGGAAAAACCCCGGGGAAATGGATCAAGAACTTGCTTCTTGGGAAGAAATCATCCAAGTCTACTTTTTCCAAAGTAAGGGAGGTATTACTAAGATGCACGTTGGAACCTATCTATTAATTTTCTTTCATCTTGTGGGTCATTAGGTTCTAATTTGTAACTTATGATGTTGTTCTGGTTTCACAGAAATCTACAAATAAAGGGGAGTCACTGTTCTCTTCAGAGTTAACTGTGAGTGCTCCGCTGATATCACCAACATTGGTTTCACCACCACTGATTGAGGCTGTTGCTAGTAATGAAGTGGGTTCTGAGATCACAGTAGCTGAAAAATTGCCCAATGATGGGGTTATAATGTCATCTGCAAAGGAAGATGGCCGAGCACAAGCTATCTTGAGTTCGACTTCTCAGGAAGATCTTGAGACAATCAAGCAAGAGCAAGCTGCCACAAAGGCGCAAAGCGCTTACAGGGGCTATGTGGTACTTTCCTCCCCATTGACGTTCTGCTTTTGCTTAAAAATTATGCTTAATAATATTTCCAAACATTTTCTGTTGTACTTCTGTGAGATGATATTAGTACGTGGAGAATATTTTTTGACCAACCTTCCAACTACTGATGGAAACTAATTATCTTTAAACTTCGAAGGCTCGCCGTGCATATCGGACTCTTAAGGGAATCGTGAGGCTGCAAGCACTTATTCGTGCTCACTTGGTTAGAAGACAAGCTGTATCCACATTATTCTGTGTCCAGGGGATTGTTAAGTTTCAGGCTCTGATTCGTGGTCAACTTGCTAGACATTCTGATGTTTTGGTTGAGGTGTGTAAAAATCATGTACTTTCTGGTTACTTTTTCAAACAAGAGCAAAAGCCTGTCTGTATATTCTTTCATTCCTAAACTTTTGTTGCCACTGAATATGCAATTTGTTGCCACTGTATATGCAATTTATTGCCACTTATATACCAATAATTTTTCTTTTTGTCATGAATCAGGGTGCTACATGTTTTAATTTATCTGGAGTAAGTGCAGATTCACAGGTGGAGAGGCTGTCCAAAATTGTTTTTGTTCAGAAGGTAAGATTTACTATCAATTCTTTGGATCATTATAAGATGTATACTGAAATTAGCCTTAAGTTTGTAAAGCAGCACAATGTATCACAGGGGGCATTTCCTTCTCACTATTGTAAGCCCAGTACTGTTTTATCACCTAGGTGTATGGGGGAATAGTCTGGTATTTATATGCTTGTATTACTTGTAATGATGTTCTGCCAAACGTAATAAGGAGGGGCATGCAACTTATGGCTCCAAAAACCAGTTTTCAGAACTGAGTAATACCTTAGGTGGTGATCTTAAAAAGGGGAACATGATGACAGATCTGTGCCTGTACCTCTTTGTCACTTTTACTGCTGGGCCAAAGTCGGCATTTGATTGCTTGAAAAAGAAAACTGTTTATTTTATTATTATTTTTATTTTCAGATTTTGGCTTCATTGCGTACTACAATTCCTCTACGTCTGGAGTACGGTCCTGGGGAGCCTAACTCGTCCTGGGTGTGGCTTGAGCGCTGGACCAGGTCATGCTTTTGGGAACCTGTTGTACAACTGAAGAAAAACCCTGATTCAAGGTCTCGTAGGAAGCATGAAAAGGGTCAAACAAAAGAAACTGAAAAGGCCAGACCAAAAAGAAGCGTTCAGAGACTGTCCGGTACAAATGTTGAAAATGGGTCAAAACATGTCACCCCTGATTCTGAAAAGACTAAACGCAATTTGAGGAAAGTTCCTAGCCCTTCAGAAGTTGCGAAGGTTAAAAGTAATGTGAGAAAATCTTCTGATTCCAAGAAGGTGGTTTCTGATCGGTCATTAGTTGGTGATGAGAGACCAAAGCACAGTACTGTGAAGAGTTTGGTTGCTGCTGCTCCTGATGATTTGGAGCAAGGCACTAGTGAAATTTCCAAGAAGATGGAACATATGGCAGTTGCTGTGTCAAAACAGTCCGATCTAGAAGGAAGTGTGGAGCTGCCTTCAGCAGATGAACCCATGGAAAAGTTAGATGACCATCCTTCTGGTGATGTGCAACCATTGGAGAACAATGGGACAAGTGAAGAATTTCAAGCAATAAATCAGGAGCCAAACTCGAGGGATCATGTTATCGGGAATGAAGATACGAAAACCAGCCAGAGAAGGGCTTCTCTACCTATGAAGTTTGAACATCAGGAGAATGGTGTTCATAACACACCTATGAAGTTTGAACAGCAGGAGAATGGGGTTCATAACACACCAAGAGTCCCTAGTTATATGGCACCAACTGCATCAGCAAAAGCTAGGCTGAGAGGACAGGGCTCCCCCAGGTTTGACCAAGATATTGTTGAGAAGAATGTTATTACCAGGCGGCATTCATTGTCTGCTTCCACCAACACTAAGTTAAGTTCTCCTTCCCCACGGGCACATGGACTGGTTCAAGCTGGAAAAGGAGTAATCAGAAGTGACAGATCTTTATTGTCTTCAAGGGATGGTTTTGGTAAGCTGTGAATTCCTCCATGTGCTTTTCAGTTGCATGTCTGATTTACTCTCTTGCAAATGCTTCCGTCCATATATACTTGAGTTAGACATCATATCTTTTCAAGCATTCATGTGCTCATTCTAGTGAAAGTTGGGATATTGTCACAGCGCACATTGACCTTTTGGTCTCAGTATTATATGTATATTATCGTTGAGTTCAACATGAATGCTTAATCTAGGCCAAGCTGTCACAACTTTCCTTGTAGGCTCAGAGAAGGCTATGCTGAAATTGTACACCGACTTATTACTTTTTGAGTATTGAATTTTTTCCCGTTTCCTTATTGATCATTTGGCTTGGTGTCTTTGAATCGGGTTGAAATATGTGGTATGCATTCTAATGGTCCTTTATTGTGGGTAATGCCAATTTCAGATAAGGCGATCCAACCAGAGTGGAGGAGGTGACTTCGGACTAGGTATTGTTCCATGGAAGTGTATCGAGGGCAGGGAAAGAGAAAAATACCAACTCATTTGCAGTTTCAGGTTTCGTTGTTGTTGTGATTAAGTTATAGTGAAACCAAGATTGATGTGTTGAGTGATCAGTGTTGTATGTGCCGATCGAGTTTGTTCTCTTACTTAGCATTAGGGTTATTTGACAGTTTGGAGACGTTGTTTTAGGTTTGATGTTTGTGATATTCTGTCTCATCAAATCATGTACAAATGCGAGCGATGATTCTCTTTTGCTTGTTAAATACTTGGGTTTTCTACTGGATAGTTTGCTACCGATCGAATTCGCAGTTATGATATTTACAGCTGTTAGTTATTCAAAAGTTCATTTGCTTTTTTGCAATGATTTTGTTACTGTCAACGCAGAAAGCAAACAGTTTAGTCCGGGCTGTCCAAGAAGGGTGAAACCTGGCCAGGGCAACTGAACACCCACTCCGGACGAATGTGCACCGTTAGCTTGCCGAAATATCCCCGTATGTTGTAGCATCAGTATTCTACGTCTGCAGTGCTCGCATCCATGGCATATGCAGGACCGTTCGAAGCTACAGACCCAGCCAAAACAAACCATTAGTGACTGCCACAGGTGCCTAGGAAGTTTCTTTGCAAGGGTTTGCAGCTGTCCACAAGATCTTCCCTGAATCTGTATCAAAAGCCGCCCGTGCTCCGGCTATTGTTGTCTGGATTGAAGGTGCGAGAGTGAAGTTCTGTTGGTCGCCGTTGGCAATGTTTGTGTATGCCCTTCTACCATCTGCGGCTGCACCCCATATCCCTCATGTTCCAAAAATACCCCCATTAATTTTTTTAGAACTCCAACATGCTACTTTTTAATTTTTTTAATTTTAAAAATTTTAAAGTGTGACAACTGGCAAGTTATCCACCTCTTCCGGGGTTGGAAAAGACTCACAGAGACATTTCAGTCTCTTCCTGATCATAAGCCTGGCTTCCACACCAGCAATAGGTTTTGAATCCAAGACTTTCAATTTTTAGTTTGAAGAAAACTTCGCAATCCGTCATTTATCACTGGATCATCAGTTCATGGTTCAACATGCTACCCTATTAACTTTTCTATACATGCATTGTAGAATATAAAAACGAATCCCCACGCCGTCGAGTAATTAAAGCACTGCATAATAGCTTAAATTAATTTTGGGATCTGAATCCTCTCCTGTGCCAAGGAGAGGATCTTCCTAATCAAGACATGTGGACTGTTGGATTTTTATTCAATGATTATAATTATTATAATTTTAAAGTAATTTTTTTATTTGTAGCCGTTAGATAAAAATTCAACGATCCACGTGTTTTGATCATGAGAATCTTCTGGCTAAGGAGGATCCAAATCCTTAATTTTGGACCTCTCCATTTATTGCTATTTGGTTTTGAATGATAGAGCTGTCGCACGTGTTGTATGTCACCTAATATAAATCAAATAATTCCATTCACACTTACTCGAAAAACATCGTTCACTCATGACTTTCAATAAATAATACTATATTTCTGGAGTAATCTTTTATTTCCACTTTATACGGTAGGGCAAACTTGGAACTCTAAACTTCATTGACAGGTTGCGTATTGTTCGGAAAAAAAAAATGTTGGGTTTGAATATCCCCACCCTAAATTAATAGTTCAAGTATAGTATATTAATATATCACGTTTGTAAGCTGCAGTTTCGGTGTGATTAGGATTTTTTTTTCTTTCAATACTGACATGATACTATTATTATCTACATTAAGAGGGAGATAGTGAATTTAGCTTAGCTAGTAATAATGTGGTTCAAATTCATATTGGAAATATTCGATCTTAAAACTTCTTACTTATATAAGTGAAGAGGAAAAAAAGTAAGAAGTTAGACGAATTTATTGTTTAGGTTACAAAGCTTTCAGAAATGAGGAGGCTCCCGTCACTACTCGATGCACGATCTCACCATTATTTGTTTCGAATTCACCTGTTTGATGCTCACCAACAGACCATGAAGGATATTCAGATTTGACAGTGTAGAAAAAGGTATGTAGGCTAAAAATATATTGATACGTGAATGTGGAAAAAATGGAAGAGAATGTTTTTTTTTCTCATTATCTTTCTCTACAAGATTACAAGGATATATATACATGATACAAGTGTGTAGATAGGACAAGGTAGCCATCCTAGTGTGTAGGTAGGACAAGGTAGGACGGCTGTAGGACGACTTGACGGTTGTAGGACGGCTAGTGTGTAGGTAGGACAAGGTAGGACGGCTGTAGGACGGCTAGTATATTCCTTATTTGTCTAACACTCCCCCTCAAGTTGGAGAGTGGATGTCAAGAACTCCCAACTTGCGTAACATACCCGAAAACTTTTCTTTCCCAAGAGGTTTGGTAAACAAGTCTGCCAACTGTTGTGCCGTACCCACATGCTTGGTCTCTATTGTGCCATCTACAATCTTATCTCGTATAAAGTGACAATCCATCTCAATGTGACGAGTTCGTTCATGAAAAACAGGATTGGCAGCTATATGTAACGCTGCTTGATTATCACAAAATAAAATGGAAGGACCATCCAAAGGAATGTTTAAATCCTTCAACAAAAAACGAAGCCAAACTATCTCGCAACAAGCACCTGCCATTGCCCTATATTCCGCCTCTGCTGAAGAGAGCGAAACGGTTTTCTGTCGTTTCGTCCACCAAGAAATCAAAGAACCGCCCAAGAATACACAATACCCAGTAGTCGAACGGCGAGTGATAAGGCAACCTGCCCAATCAGAATCACAAAACGCAGTTAACTTGGTCTGGTTGTCAGAACGAAATAATAAACCTTGACCTGGAGTAGCCTTCAAATAACGAACAATACGAAGCGCAGCATCCATATGAGATATCCTTGGCTCGTGCATAAAACGGCTTAGAACATGCACAGAATAGGTGATATCCGGCCGAGTGATAGTGAGATATATTAACCGACCTACTAATCGTCGATACTTTTGAGGATCCTTGAGAAGTTCTCCTTTATCAGATAATTTTGTGACATCCATAGGAAAAACAATGGGTCGTGCTCCCAAAAAACCATAGTCCTTGAGAATCTCTAATGCATACTTGCGTTGAGAAATATAAATCCCTTGTTTGGAACGAGAAACCTCAATACCCAAAAAATATTTTAAATCACCAAGGTCTTTTATCCGAAAAGGATCACGGAGAAAAGACTTCAGAGAATTAATGGCACTAGTATCACTGCTTGTAATCACAATATCATCCACATAAATGAGCAAAGCTGTGAAAGAAATACCAGACTTTTTAGTGAACAATGAATAGTCAGCTTTGGATTGTTGAAAACCGGCAGAAATGATGGCACTAGTGAATTTGGCAAACCATTGGCGAGAAGCCTGCTTAAGACCATAAAGTGACTTGTGAAGGCGACACACAAGATTCTCCCCCTGTCGCCGAAGACCAGGAGGATGAGACATATAGATTTCTTCATGTAAGTCACCATGTAAGAAAGCATTATTAACATCAAGCTGATGAAGAGACCAAGACTGACTAGCAGCAAAAGCAAGAAGACAACGCACCGTAATCATCTTAGCAGTAGGAGAAAAAGTGTCATGATAATCAATACCTTCAGCCTGAGTGAAGCCTTTAGCAACCAAACGAGCTTTGTAGCGGTCAATAGGGCCGTCGGAATTGTGCTTGAGTTTGTACACCCACTTACAACCAATGGGAATTTTGCCAGGGGGCAAAGAAGTTAAAGTCCAAGTACCATTAGCATGTAAAGCTTGAAGCTCCTCAGTCATAGCACGTTGCCAATTGGGGTCAGTGGCAGCCTCGGCAAAGGAGGAAGGCTCCACAGTCCGACTGACAGAGTTACTGTAAGAAAAATGCCTGGGAGAGTAACGGTGATAAGAGAGAAAATTACAAAGTGGATATCGCGTACCTTTAGACAAATAAGGAATATACTAGCCGTCCTACAGCCGTCCTACCTTGTCCTACCTACACACTAGCCGTCCTACAACCGTCAAGTCGTCCTACAGCCGTCCTACCTACACACTAGGACGGCTACCTTGTCCTATCTACACACTTGTATCATGTATATATATCCTTGTAATCTTGTAGAGAAAGATAATGAGAAAAAAAGCATTCTCTTCCATTTTTTCCACATTCACGTATCAATATATTTTTAGCCTACATACCTTTTTCTACATGGTATACAGAGCAGGTTTATAACCCTAGCCCTAATTTTTTTTTCTCGGCAGCTTTCTCTGCCGTTCCCATGGCTGTTCGTGGCCCGTCCTCTGCTCGTCCTCCCCTCCACTGCACCTACTGCAATTTTGATTATCATACCCGAGACACCTGCCATAAACTTCATGGCTATCCCGTTGGCCATCCCCTCCATGGCCAACCGTAGCGACCACCGCGCCGTGCCACTGCTTCCAGTTCTTCCCGCAGCCATGCACCTTCCAGTCCTCCCCGGCAGCCACGGTTTTCTGCTTCCCAGGCCCATCACGTGCAAGGCACCCAGGCCCTCGCCTCATCTTCTACTTCAACGACCCACCAAGTGCACGGGGCCCAGCCCACTTTGCATGACTTGCTACTTGCCATGCCTGACCTCTCTGCCGAGCAGCACTCCCGTGTTCTAGCTGCTCTACGTGACACCACCACCCCTCCTCAGGCCAATGCCGTGCTCACTACTGATTTTGCCCAAGGTTTGTTATCTGTCACCTCTCGTCATGGTCAATGGATTCTTGACAGTGGTGCTACGGATCATATTACTTCTTCGGCCTCATGTTTGGTTAATCGTTCTCCTTCACATTTGCCGCCTGTTTCTTTGCCTAGTGGTGCTTCCGCTCCCATTACTTTTACCGGCACTCTTCCTTTAAATTCATCAGTTACTTTAAAGGACGTTTTATGTGTCCCTAATTTCCGAGTGGACCTTTTATCGGTTGGTAAACTTACAGATGGATTATTGTGTTCCATAACCTTCTTTCCTTCTTGGTGTGTTTTGCAGGACTTGGTTTCGAAGGCGATGATTGGTGTGGGTAAGTGACGTGGCGATCTGTATTACCTTGTGGCCCTTACCTCTTCTCTCCCCACTCGTCAACCTCTCTGCAACTTCATTACCATCCCCTCCTCCCTCTGGCATAGGCGTCTTGGTCACCCCTCCTCCACTCGTTTGCAAGCTTTAGCATCTAGCTCTCTTAATTGTACTTTTGATTCTAGTCATATTTGTGATGTTTGTCCGTTGGCAAAACAAACTCGTCAACCTTTTCTTTTGAGTTCAATTTCATCAACTTTCCCTTTTGCTTTAATTCATTGTGAT